AGTCCACCATCCCCTTTTGCTCATGGGGCGGGGGTGGGGTGGGGGTGGTGGGAGGCGCCCCGCCCTGCCCTCAGGCCCCCCAGCAGCAAGCCCTCTGCCGGGGCGGCGCCCACCTTGTGTTTCGGTTCCTCCTCGTCATCGGTCCTGGCTTGGCCGGCGTCGCTAAGGACAGGGCTCAGGAGTGGGGACGAGCCCCGCTCAGCAGGGCCCAGAGCCACCTGAAACGCAGGGCTCAGGCTCAGTGGGCTCTTCCGGGCGGAGGGAGAAGGCTGAGGACTGTCCACAGAGAGGCCTGGAATTGAACGGGGCAAGGGATGGAGCGAGAAATGAGCGCGAGCCACGACGTGGGCCAGACACCACGTGGCTCCCCAGGCGTGGCCCATGCTGGCCGCGCACCACCACCAGGCACTTCCTGGAAACTGTAAACAAAGCTGCTGTCACATGCAGCTCTTGCTATGACAACGCGAAAATGGAAATAGGCTGATGGCTGACCAATCTGAGGTTCTGGGGGTCCCCCTGGCTCTGAGATGCACGTGACACAATAAGCAGCACAAAGCCCGTGAGGCGGGACCATCAGGGAGCGGCACCTTCCGTGTGCTCGAGACATCACGCTGATGCTGACATACCTGGGGAGGTGCCTGTTTAGGACACGGTCATTAATCATTTACTTGAAAAACTGGGTCTTGTAAGATGGCAACTCTTTATACTGTCTCATACTTCTCTGAATTTTTCATTAACAAAGATTTTATATTTTGGTTTTCTAGAACTATACTACAAAAGTAATTACTTAAATTTTTTCCCTTTTTAAAAGAACGTTTGCTTTCGACTCGACAGAAGCCAAAATTCGGGCCTAGTTCAACAAAGGCTTACGATAGGCATATCCCATCATACACTTTGTAATAAAGACATTCTTATCCGCTCAGTTTTCAGAGTTTACTTCTAACATTTTTCAGCGGGACACCGGTGACTCTGAAGTGTCCTATTTTAAAGATACCACTAAAGCAGTTCTATAAGAAAAGCGTCTTAAGACAGCTGCCTTAGGGTTCCCAGCGGGGGAAACCCAAGCCGCCATCACTTCCAACCATGATGCAGGTGACACGTAACTTGACTTGAATCCATGGTGCCCGCCTGCTCCACCCACAGCTGGCTTCAAAGCGAGACCCGCCAGGGCCGCGGCTGGAGATCGCGGATGCAGGCGCCTGCGGTGACCCGCTCCTGGGTGGGCACCAGCAGCTGCACTAACCCCCCAGCGCAGCCCCATGGCTGGAGGGGCCCTTATTTTCACATTGACAATCTGGAGTGCGGGACCCCACTGAGGCACTTCGGAGCTAAGCCGCCGGCGCTGAGACGCCAGAGCCTTCCCCTGGGATCTGACAGGAAACGTTCGTTCCCATTAGAAATCCCGGACAGAACAAGACGTGGCTTTACTAAGGACCAGGTTGTTAGAACTTGCTTTTATCACACATTTAAAAGATGCTGAGCAACCTTAAAAGATCATAGGACTCCTAACCGCCCCCCCTGCCAGGCCTTACCCAGACTCAGTCAGCTCCGAAGGGCTCGAACCCGGGCTGCGGGCTGGGCGCTGGGCCCTGGAGCACGGGTCACGCCACAAGAGCTCTCTGGCCTGGGCCCAGTGCGGGGTAATGGCCGTCAGGCTAGAGAACACGCTGCCAGAGGGTGGCCCCTCGGTAGGGAGAGGGACCCCCCCCTGCAGGACAGACTGCTCACCTGGGAGACTGAGTCACCATCTGACGCTATCATTGTAGGTTCTACTTCACGAACACTGTCAACTCACAATTAGCGAATAGATTAAAAAGTACCACAGGCTGCTATTAAACATTTGTTTTATTAAGTCTGTCAACTACAGCAACACATTATAAACCGTGCCTACTTCGAATTCTGTAAACACAGATCCTACAGATAAAGTCAACAAGGCTGCGGGAAATATTTTTTCAAGAGAGTGGTCCATCGAGGTGCTTCGCGTGTACACCCCGTGTTCCCATGCCCCATCCTGCGTGGGCCCGTCTATCGTGTGTGAGTCACTGACATACACTGCACACCGAGAAGACAAGTGTGGGGCCATGGCTCTGCAGGCGTGTTCTCCGGAAGTGAGGTCGTGCAGCCCCAGCTCTGCTGTCTGGACTGTGGGACAAGGAGAAGGGTGCTGAGCCCTAGGAGACCTCGTCTAGGTTGGAAATGCACATTAGGATGCGTGGATAAAGAGCAGGTGTCGTAAGAATTTTTGAAATGCTACACATCAAGTTTTAGGCATCGCAGAACGTGCTTAGCCCTCACTGGTGCGGTAAAGAATTAATCTTACGTGTCTGTAAACCAGAGCCGTGTCCCAGAAACACAGCGAGAAAGCCAGCGTGCTTTGTCACGAGCACTCGCTGCGGACCGCGCAGACGCGGAGGGGCGTCTCTGGCACCGCCGCGCTGGCTCCTTCACGCGTGCTGAAGGCGCTCCTCAGTTCCAGGACCGGGCTACGTAAAACGGACCGACGCACACAGTAGCCGTGTCCCACCAGCCCCGCGCCTCGCTGGAGTGGGCCCCAGACCGCCCGCCCGTGCTCACAGGCAGGCGGCAAGCTACAGGGTTCCACCGTGTCCAAGAAACACCTAGGCTCTTATTTCCGGTTATTCGTCAGCAGCGAGCAGCTCCGGCAGCTTTCTCTGCGGCATTCGTTTCTGCCATTCTAGATACTCATAGTTTTTGAAATGTCGTTTTAAAAAGCGCTGTGTCATACCTTGTGCTTATCGTCACTCTATTCATTTGGCTAGGGCACTAAAGACAAATACCACGTTTAGAGGAGAGTTGAGCTCACTTTTATTTTATACCTTTCAATTTTCTTCGAATCCCTATAAAAAACAATCTTGACAATTTTTGTCCAATAGTGGAGGAAGAATCAGCTCCAGTTTGGAAGATTCAAGGTCAATTTTGAAGGTCAGCACGATAACAGGAGATAAAAGATCTAGAAACTCCTTTAACTGGGACAATGGCTCACTAATCCCACTAGAAAAGGAGGGGGCTGAACCGTCTGAAGAATCTGGGTAGATGTGGGCCGAGTCAG